AAAAATAGTGTCAGAGACTATGTTTTAGAGGGGTTTGAGGCGGTCATTAGGGCTTATATTGCCAACGTAGCACAATTAGACTATTTTTTCTTCGAGTAAAAAATGAGATGAGTTGTGTAATAGTCAAATTTTGAATTCCTTGACGTTGACCACTCGTCATTAAACAGACCAAAATTGGTTCTCTGTTCACTTGTGACTTTAAAGAAAACCCTTCCTTTATCTTAGTCACAGTTTTATAAGTTCCTCCAAAATTGAAGTATCCAGCACTTTTGGCAAACTTGGATGTGGGTTTGAAGCCTGTTTCCTTGATTAGTAGTGACAGCTATATTTCCAGCCGGTACGGATGCTACAAAACAGTTTAGTACGTTACCAGTAGCTGAAGCTGTTTGCTTATTAGTGACTCACTTTTTGCACATCTCACTTTTGATGCTGTATTTTGAAACCCCTAACTCAGGGCGAAGCATTTAAGGTAATATGGCTTTAAAAATAAGAAATATACTAATTTCGAGACTCCTCTAAGATATTTTATCAAGCCTTTCAGTATTTCTGATTGGATCATCTCCGTATTTTGCTAAAAAGAAGTCTTTTGTAAAGATAAATTTTGGTCTTTTTTATCTTTGGGTTACCACTAAAAACTGATTCGTTACGGGAAGAGTCCTCGTATTCTCTTTCCTTCCATTTGTTCCAAGCTTCGCTAGAAGAGACTATATGTAGTCGTGGAATGTTTTAAAACGATTTCTCAAGTTATCAAATTTGACTTCCGCCTCTGGCAGTGACGACTTATCTGTCGCGACTACCAACAAGAATTATGAAATTGGTGAATTGTTTACGACAACATCTCACCTATACGTTCCTATTAGGAACCTTCTTCTTCTTTGCACCCCTGTAAGGGACAAATACTAGCTTACCGTTTTACAAGACCGTACCACTTGAGAGGGCTAGATTCCAGCAGCTCGCCAATGCTTTGTACTTACCTAAGGTACTGCTATTTAACTTGAGGACCCTTGATAATAGTTCCGATACAGACAACTCTGACAACAACCAATGATCTTTAAGCACATAGTCTGTCTTACTGGAGTAATGCTTGATTTGACCTGCACCAGGGCTCAACCACCCCTCTGCAACTATTAGGCAATTCCTTAATATGTCAACACTCAACTGTCACGATACTGAAAGGGAAGCATGTATAATATCCGATAAGCAAGCATTTTAGAAGGTTGTTGAGAAACAGTGCATTAAGCCAAGCAAGTGTGAATTCAACGGAAAGCTGCAGCTGCCAGTGGGCATATCCTATAATATGCGATAAAAGCGAGTTCTACAAATCGAGGAGAAGATTCATCGTAGATGAGCTTAAAACCGTAACTTGGGATGATAACTACGACGGTGAAGGAGAGTCTTATTGGCCTCATGCGAAATAAGCTTTTGGCTGGCCACCAAAGACGTCCCTCTGAGGTCAGGCCAGAGCGCATGCTTCAAAAATCTATGTCCTTTCACGCGTACTCGCGACGCTACCCCAAATCCACACTTTCTTAAAGGTGGTATTCGCTGCCGAAAAATGCGTACTTTACGAAGATTTTTATCTAAAAATTAGAACAACAAAAGTAAGTGCTTGACAGTTTCTAGAGCTTGCAACCTAATTTATAGAGTCTTTCAGGCATCAAAGACTTTAGCAGTTGGTGGCTCAGCAAAATTCCTTCACAGAGCGAACTCTCATGGAGGGTATGGTTCTTACGGCTATGAAGATTTCTCAGTCTTATACTCCGTAAGTCCTTCAAGCCTAAACTTTGATTCTTTTTTTAAAAGTGTCAAGTTAGCTATTTACAGAGGTAAGACTTGATAGATAAACGAAAATGAAGGGCCATTTTATTTTTTTCAGTGGTTTTAATATACAACCATCACATTAGACAGAAAAGTTTGAGAGCTGTCTTCTTGGGTTTATTTTTCTCAGAATCAGATTTTTTCAGTCTCCTGATCAAGAGTTTTATGAATGCTGTAAGGAAAGAGGCTTACCTCCTTCGTGTTTGGACAAGTGTTCTTATTCATCCTACTCTGGGAAAGCGGTAAGTCGGGCACTAAAATGTTGTCTTTTATCACTTTACGCCAAGTCATAGCGCTGGTTACCTTCAAGGAGTTTTTGCTTTTGTTTCTCACCGAGTCATCATTTGAGTTGCATGGGACAAAGAAAAATAACTTTTGGAACTGATGATAGATAAAAATGGGTCTTCTATGTTTCAGCTTAGAGATATGTTCCTTCGCACTGATACTTGCCCAGTTCGAGCTGCCAATGACCTTCATCTGTGTGCAACTAGAGGTCGTGATCATCGTATGTGTTGTTACAAAAACGGTGTTACTAGCACAATTGCTGGTGACAAGTGCTTGCTCTTTTGTCAGAAGGTAATAATTTGTTTAAATAAGATTAGACAGAAGAAGACTTATAAGAGTTTTCTACATAAGCCTCCATACTTTTGTTGACCTTGAAGCTCAGCCTTCGCTAACGCAGAAAGTTGTAGCAAGTTCGTCACCTTTTTCTACTAGAATAATCAAGAGTAACCGAGTTTTTTTTTTTTTAATGAAAATATACGTTACAGCCACCTGAAAATCAAACAGAATTAGACTTATCGTACTTGCCTTGCTACGACCAATTTGAAGTAATGAGGCAGTGCTTTTGGTCGGATGCTGTTAAAGTTTACAAGAAGAATTTTGATTCAATGTCAAGAGCAATGTACAGGAAGACTCTCCAAAGATATACCGACTTTTAGCAGAAAATGCGTCCCGGCGGATGGCTATGATTTACTCCATCGCTTATGCAGATAATATTAAATACATCTAATATAACTTTCGCACACTAAATAACTGCGTTCTCCCTTACCAATATTAGAGCCATTGAGCTCCGATTTCCCCATACATGCTTGCGGAACCGAATGAGAGAAAGTTGTGGTGTATCATGGCGAAACAAGAACTAGAAAAACCTACCTCTTCAACAAAACCCATATCCAATTATCAACCTGTCAGCGAAGATTCATCCAGATGCATTCTTGTCGATCGCGGAAATTGATATAACATCATATGTTCAACTGCCTAAAGGCCTTCCGACTACCACTTTCACACCAACATCGCACAATTTTTACTTTGAGATGCCAATAATAACTGTCACCTTCACGACAGTTTTTTGCAGACACAACTTGATTACGCTTTTTTAGTGAAACTGCCGTCAAATACCGTTTCTAATTAGCTTACAAAATAGCAACGGTCGCACTGTAAAGAAAAAAAAGTTTATTTCACTTCTTTCCTTTCTTTTTCAATTTACTTTCCTAGCGACTGGATTACTTATCCTTTTGCCACCAGATTGCTGCCACGCGGGTCTTCTAACGTAGGAGTAATGCCGTCTTTCTTTCGCCGTAGCGTAGGATGTCTTGTAGCCACCTCAAACTTGGGTAATTGAACCTTCATTCAATATACAAGAACAATATAAAAAACGCCAAACCTTAGCAATTACAAAACCACTAAAAGCAGCATCAAACATGAAAAGATCACTGCTTCCATTCCTCCTGCTGTCTCGCGTGGACCTTCTTACATAATCTATTCCAGCGGGTTATCGTTCTTTGTTTTATCTTCTTTCCCGCTGAAGTGGACGCTGATTTTCGAGCCGGCTTCTTCCTTTCTCCTGAGTCTTCTTGATAAATTTTATTAGTTGTTCCCTTTGCTCTGGGAGCGTATTATCTTCGCCTTTCAGCGACACGCACGTTATAAACTAGACTTTGTACTACAGACTCCTTAAATGACTAAAGCAGCGTTTTAGTTCCACTCCTTTACTTGTTTGCTCTCAAGAAAGGACTTTCAAATTTGAGAATCGCGACATGGCCTCCAAGTTCTTTCGCAATTCAAGAATAAGCTGTGACATACTTGAGGTCCTGTCCTAGACCTAATGCAGTGCGACCAGACCTCAAATACTGGTTAGTGCAGCGAGCAAATAAAACTCGGTTTCCACAGCGTGATCTTAACAGGAAAAAATCTTTTCATTCAGATAAAATGTTTCACGACACATCTCCACTGCACGAAATTCTCCGCGCCTCACCGGTTATTACTGCAAACGCTTTCAAAAAAAAAAAACACACACAGGACAAATCTCCTTCATTGTTTCATTCAATAAATTCTATTTTGAGACGATAAAAACGCACTCCTTAAAATTCACAGTCACATAGCTGAAAACTCGTAAAAAAAATATTCGCACAATGATTAAGACAGACGTGTTGCAACGATAACTTTGGCCACTGTCAATTTCAAACATCGGCAAAAATGACAACAAATAACACGGGAACAATTTTCAGAGAATGAATTCCATAGAAATCAAGAAAACTGCCTAATACAGCAGATCAAAAAAACGCAAGAATTTGTATTCCACAATATTAAAACGGTTCTGAAGAGAACTAGCCAGACGTCTAAACAGAGGAATCTTTAAATTAACAAACTGAGCCACAACAAACCCGAAAAAATTTGCGAAGCAGTCTGTAAATAAAACCAAATTCATACTTATTGAAGAGTTCCTAAAATTTGCTGACTGATTAACATGCTAAAATCTGTTTTATTTTCATATGAACTGTTAAACTAAAAATGTAAAAACGAATGCAACAAACATTTCGAAGTGAATTAAACGAGGCCAAAAAAGGACATTTTAGGAACTTGTATGACATAATAGGAAGTTGCACTACTAAGAACGACATACTTTATCTGTATAAGCACTATGAGATATTCAAAAGACTTAGCCTGTTTACAGATAGATGCGGATGAAGCTTATCAAACATGAGCTCAAACAAATAATTCATTACTTTAGTCAATTTCATTTACTGGTTGACGATTTTCTGCTACCGCCAGCAGATCCATTGGCATCCACTGTATCTTCCTCAGCCTGCTCCTCGTAGTCTAACAACGGCGAAGGACTCCTAGATACTAATTCTCGCAGTCTGCTACCCACGCTCTAAAATTTTCGCCACATCTCATTCTCCTATTTCAATAAGTACGTTTGCAAATTATTCCCCAATCACAGTCGGCCAAATTCGTATAGCAGTATAGACTCAAAAAGGACGTAAGAAACATAAAAATGAGCTGACTGTTCCATTTCTTCGCCAAAACAAGAAGAAAACTTACATTAAATCCACCGTCTTTATGGAAGGTTTCCACAAAACCGCGAATAAAATCATCGGACTTATTGCGCCAATTGTGAAGTAATTCCATACTTTTTTGTTTTAAATGATCAACATGGTTTTGCAATTGATATCGCCTCGCCTAAATACATTAATAATGATGAGAAATGAACCTTGGAAAGCAATGAGAATATAAAATTTTATTAACTATTACACTAAAGAGATTTAAATGTATGGTTCATAAATTCCTACAAGAATACTAGTGAAATATTTCTAAAATCAAAGCCTCATGAACAAATGATAACTTACAGCAAGAAACCCAACATTAAGCTCCTTGGCGGAGTAACCTCTTTGTAAATTTCTCCTGACATACTTGTCGTAATCACGTATAATACGACACACGACGTCACTGGTAGAAACTCCTTCTGTTCGCTCGGTTTCTACAAACATTCCTTCCTTCCGAAACTTTTCATATAAATCGGTCTCCCCTTCGGCCTGATACGGAATAGCATCATGAGCAATAAAATCCACCTAAAAGCTATTTCTTACATAAAAAAACGTCTTCAACTAAAAATTTTTATTAAATAATTATAAAAATAGTTAAGTATTAAAAAAAATATTGTAAGGATTTATATTTTTAAATCAGCAGCTATTCACTTTGAACATATTATAATATGGAGTTCCAAGCTTACAACAGTTACTTCTTCGATGAAAAACACCGTTCAGTCTTTACAGACATTATTCAGTAGGGTTAGTTACTATGTACCCATTTGTTTCCGCCAAGAAGTATAACTCACAGACGACTTCAAAAAAAATTACAGTAATTAACTTTCTAACTTAAGCTATCTTGAAAGCTTTTTTTTCCAAGTAGCACTGCCTTGCTCTTTCCAAATCTCTGCCAAAAGTAGCCACTCAATTTAACAACAATAAAAGCACAAACTTTTAATTTGAAGGTCAAATAACTTTCTGCGAAGAACTTGTAAAATTTTAGAAGTGCGCAATTAGTAAACTCATTCAGCAGTCACGTCTCTCTTCATGGTCTCACTTCAAAGATCCCAGTAGGACTGTAACTCAACTCCAACAGTGAGCGCATCAAAACACTTACACTATTCCTAAATCACATTCTTGTCTTCCGACAAGTAAAACTACCCCTTTCTACTGTGCATCATTTGTTCAACAAAACAGCAACAAATGTTTTTTGAATAATTCAAATAGGAGCAGCGTGCTAATCCTATTTACATTAAAAAATTGAAGTTGTAAAAAAACAGCATATCCAAATAAAACCAAACGAGTTTTTAAACATTCGTTTTTATAATCAAAATTCTTGAAGATTTGAATGCTAACATCCAAATACCCACAGAAACCATTCTATTGAGCTATAATCGTCTGAAAAGGTCAACACTACTGTACAATTGATCAACACTCTACCAACAAAATATCGAATCTTTTAAGCCTCAAAACATTTTTTCTGCCGCCATTTCTTTCAAAAGGAAGCAACACTGTACTCCGTGCTTATTGAGTACCTGCTAACTACAAAAATCAAAATAATGAAATCAAATACCCCATTCGTGACTGACTATTTCTGTCCTGCCACGTCTGTTAACGTGCCTTCTCGTTCTCCCAGGCAAAATGTCACCAGTCTCGGCCACAGTGTTGCTTTCTTTAAAACATTTCTTATTCTCACTTTTTAAGTATCCCTCTGCCTTTGAGACAATCAAATAATGCTAAAATTATTACATACCAAAATTCAAAAGTTGGCAGCAAAGCGTCAGAATGATGCACACTCGCTCTCAAACATTATTATATAGCACGATTTTTTACTTCAGAACTACCTTAAATTTATCTTCAGTCAGCATTATTATACATGAATGAATATCTTCTAAAGACCCATTCAACAAAAACAAATTAAAAAATTTTAAAATACCAGAAAATATTTTCAGGAATTAATTGACTGAGGATTATCAAGAACACTCACCCTTCTCGAACCAAATAGGAAATTACTGCTTTCTGATGCATAATTTAGAATTGCAGGCTTCTTCAAACCAGAACACTTATTTTACCACATTATCAAACTTACTTTGTCGACACTGTGTATCAGAAAAAATTTCAATACTCTAACTTTGAGAGACTGTTAGGCATATATATAAAAATTAATACACCTTCATAGTGTTTATAGTGGAAAACCATATTCGCAACATCCGGTTAAACTATTACCAACCCATTACCGACGACTGTACGCAAAACCCCTACAGCACTAAACCTTCTATCTCACATAAATTCTGCAAAACCCATATTACTAAAACTTGTTGCATCTTGCTCTTCTTCCTCGCTTTTCAGCTTTTCAGTTTTTAAAACTTCCCCACCTTTCTCTTTTAGTTGAAAAGTGTTTCTGTCCTATAGGTTAAGATTATTTATCAATTACTATTATCCACTTACTTCAACTACTCCTGACAGTCTTCAAAAGAAAAAAAATTTTGCTTTCAGAGAAGGTCAAACTCGTCATTATCAAGGCTTTGAAAAGAGATGGAACGCGAACCAGCTTCGACCAGAACTGATGAAGAGGTAGCAAACGCGACTATTTCAGGAACCAAGAAAAGTAAGGGCACTCTCCGCTTTATGAGGTTACTCGTAGAGACTGAGAGACCAGGAAAGACAAATGACTGAGGAACTCCATGACAGGCGTTTTTTGACGTTCTGTAGTCACAGTTTAACTTGGCACGAAGCCGTTAGAAACCAATTCTAGCTTTCAATTTGGTGAGAAGAACTGTTTTTTATAGTAATTGGAGATTCGAAGCTGGTTTGGCCCCGTAATTTTGAAAAATGACACAGAATCGGAGGGCGTGAAACCGACAGAAAGAAATTACTCACAGGCAAAGCCTTAACTAAAAAGCCTAAGGAAGGATTCGAGGAAAAGATAAAAATCGGAGTATCTGACAAAAATTTTATTTACAATGCCAAAGAAGCCAAACTGAACTAGAAAGCACCCCTGAAGAAGAACTATTGGCCCGCCCTGAAATTTCGGTACCTGCTCTGAATACAATTAAGGAATTTGTCACAATGCATTTTTGCGCAACGTTCTCCAGAACCCACAGACTTCCAACACTTTTACTCAAAAATCTAAGAAGCCTGGAAACTTTGAAGATTTGGAAGGCCTTCCTATTGTTTGCCAAAATCAATGAATTACATGACTATCAACTTCTTCAAAAACTAGCCTTAGACCCTTTTTATACCGAAAGTGAAGAAACAACAGAATTCAACTAGTAAAAAAAAAATGAAACATTTTTCCCCTTTACAAACGACAATGATTTGTATGTTTACAGATTCTGATCAGGAACCACAAGAATCATTTGATGACAAGAATGAAATAAAAAAATACTTGTTTAGACTGAAAAAAGCCTCTCAACGAGCAAAGGTTTTAATAGCGTAACTAGAGAGGCAGCAGGACGCAAAAGTAGGTAATCCGTAAGTTCCAAAAAGAATTTGAGATACAGCAGTTAAAAGGTGTGAAAGACAGGAATTTTGAAGTATTTGCAAACGTTTATCATATTCCACATGTACATACCTAAAATGTTTCCTTATTTTTTGAACGTATTTGTCTAATATTTTTTTATTTTTTGATAAAATAACCATATTAGAAACTCGTACTTCTCAAATTTATTATTAGACTCTGCTTAAACGTCCACAAAACTTTTTTGTATTAGTCGTTCCCCAAAAACAGGAAATATGTTCTAACATCCAACGCCTTGAAGTGTTCCGACTCCCGCCGTAAGCGGCGCAGAGCTGCATCAGTTACTCGACTTTGTAAAAATTCAATTTCAAGGAGAAATTTTTGCATCATTTACTTGAAAAAATCAAGTCCCCGCCGTACTTGGCACTTACTGTGTCTCGGTAAAGAAGCAAGAACAGTTTTCCAGAATTGAGCAATTTTTTAACAAAGAGTACCTTAAGTTCTTTCAGAAATTCAAGGGTGCAGTACCATGGGGCATCTCTGTACACTTCATCAACGTAACGGCAATGTCGGACTGCTTCATATCTTTCGTCTTCAGATGTCACTGTACGCCCCTTGTATTTATGAGTATTTGCATCACCACAAACTAGAAAAAGATACAATTCAGATTATAAATGTTAATTTACTAGTTTAAGTGTAGCACTATAACACTCACTAAAATAGTGTAAGAAATAAGATGCTCAAGAAAAATAAGTCAGGAAATCCAGTTTATAAGTAAAACTATTGCGTATCGCTATAAATTATTGAAAGTGAGTTCTCATCCCTTTTGTTACTAAACTCGTCGCTCAGACAATTAAGGACCCTTATCTTATAAAGGAAACTTCTCAACTTTATCTCTTCTCTAACTGCTGACAAATCTAATGCTCTTCAATCTAAATAAATCAAATACTACGCGGAAGAATAGTTAAAAACCTATTTAGGAAAGAGCGTAATATCAAAGCAGCTAGAACTACTCAAACTTCTTTCCTCTTGAACCAAAAAAGCCAGAGTTTAACATATTTCACATTACCAATTACCACCTACAAGAACTAAAACAAATAATGAGAGCATTTTATGTACTGTGCTTGTGCACCGAATATTTAATGATGTATACATCTCAGTTTGCATAAACATATTACTAACAACTACTAAATATTAACCATACCTCCTACTATAAGATATACATTGGGGAACATGTTTTTTGCTTGCCGAAGTTGGTTAGCGTGACCATAGTGAAATAAATCATAGATGCCATCAGCATAAATTCGAACAGGTCTTCCTGCTATAAGAAATGTTTACTCAGTACTGACTCCACTTATTCAGTATTGAAAATGATCATATCAGTTGCACAACGAACTAATAAGATTATAATTTATTGAAAAAATGCAATAATTGGTCTATATTATACTAATTGACTAAAAAAAATTTGAGAAGAAAATCAAAAAATGTAAACCTCTGTTCTCTTTAGCCATCTGAATTGTAATTTTCTTAGAGTAGTCAACTCTTTCTCTCTCCATTACAGCCGCCGGTTCATCACTGTACGGTGCTGCAAATTTTAGTGCCAGTGGACATCGTTCAACCTCTTTTGTTCCACTCTAATAAAATTTTGTCTTTCATAGATGAAATCATTTCAACAATACAAATTACCCATTAGAGATTACAGTCTCAAAATTTTAATGCACTTACCACAAAACATAATTTTTTTCTTTTTTTTTTTTTGTACACTGATCACGTTTTCATTCCTCTCAATTAATGTGTGTTTGATCATCAAATGGTCAAGTACTGAGTATGATCTAATTTAGATGATGACACGTTATATTAGGACTATAATCGCCTAATATCTCCAAAAAAAAATGTGAACTGGAGATGTTGATGTAGAAAGATAGACAAAAAAAATTTTTTTTTTTGTAGGTTACCTCATACAACTTTTTTACTGGAGGAAACATATCGTTAGCTGTATCCACAGCCGATCTTTTCCGAGAAAAGCCCAAATCCTGCATCGGCTGCATACTTTGTAAAGCCTGCATCTTCAGCTTCAGCTAAACAGTAAATTTTTAGATTTTTTATTAAATCAGAAAAAAAAATAAATCCTTTTCCGATATGAACACACACACACACACACAAACATTGATTATATTATTGCAACAACACAGATAAAAAACTAATTTAAGCAAGTAGAATAAAAAAAAAAAATGAAAGATGAAAGATGCAAACAACAAAAAAC